ATTAGCCCTCATGGCGAACAGGTCCTAGAGAAAGCACCTGCCAGTCTAGGGCTGTTCGACATCAACAGCAACCACCGCCCATCCAGAAGAAAAATTCATGTTGAGTCAAGAAGTTAAAACAAAGACCGAATGCACAACAATAAATGGTTTTGCCCCCNTGCCAGTCTAGGGCTGTTCGACATCAACAGCAACCACCGCCCATCCAGAAGAAAAATTCATGTTGAGTCAAGAAGTTAAAACAAAGACCGAATGCACAACAATAAATGGTTTTGCCCCCCTCTTCATTTTCTCTAGCCCCTCATACTCCGCCTAAGCTACGTAACGTTTTGTGCAATTGGAGGCCTTGTACTCTTAAAAAACCATCGAGACACAAATCCATGTATGCTCACACGGGTATCTCGAAACACAACAAAAACCCGACAAGTATTTTCCTCGTGGTGCTACCAAATCCTACGACGTGCTGCCTAGACCAACTCAGCAAAATTATACACGTTTTTGCTCGTTAAAACGACACTTCTGCGATCTCCGTGACGCCTGACACGGTCGTCGTCACCACCGTCTGCGCACCCGACCACGCGGCCCCGTCGTTGTGTACTTCGAAGTGGTTGTCGGTGGTCCTCATGGCCGACTGCCCGTCAACCGTGAGGCTCACCACCGGAGTCGTGGTACCGCGTGGCTGCACCTTCCAGTAGTAAGGGTTAGCGGAAGGAGAAACGAAGGACGTTTCCTCTCCAGGGCACGCGACAAACTTCCACTCGATGTCCCACCTCCCGTCGCCGGACATGGAGAAGTCGAGGTCTCCCTTCTGGCACTCGGGGCATCTGAAGCAGAGCCAGAGAGTGGACGGGAACAATCAATCAATCTCTCATGTCTACTTGGTGAAAGACATATCCATCCCTGGTTTCTAGACTGGGTGCTTTTCATTTTGTCCCTTGTAGCAATATCCGAGAGGGAAGACCGAAAAGTGCAACACAGGACACGCGCCATCACCAGTCATGGTGTTTGCTGGAGGAACAAGCGACGACTCGCTACAGTTACAAGTAGCTGTTCGTGCCCTCTTCTCGCTTACTTGTCCGTGATGAAAGCCTTGAACGTGGATGGGATCGGGTTGTTGCCGGAGCCGCTGCCGCTGGCAGTTCCCTCGACACATGCGCCACACATGAGCGAATCGCCGTACTGCTCCGCGTTGAGGGCGACTGGAACCCGTGCAGCAGAAGAGGATGTTTTAATCGTTGGGGGAAGGCAGGGGGCATGAGGGGAAAGAACGGTAGCACGAAGAGACATTACATATTCAGTCCGGCGACGAAGACGAATATGGCAGCCAAAGGTGTTGAGAAGGGATTTGATAGTGTAACGAAAGCCGGACAAGCTCGCTCGTCTTGACACGCTTACTGTTGTTTCAATAAAATATATAACAACTGAAACAGAACGGATGCAAATGGTACACACCTGGAATCATGCCATCGTACATTTCCGGGACATCGTCGAAGAAGGAGCACATGCCTGCCGTCGTGTGACCATAGTATGTTCCTTCTCCGCTATATTCCTCTCCATATTGTCCGCCACTGAAGCTCGGCGTCGGCGAGGGCCCTGCACATTTTGTGGATAAGGGAAACATGACAAAAACTAGTTAGCATATTCACCCACGGCGAGCCGGTGTCTGGCATTCAAAATTCCAGCGACGCCAGCGCAGTTGACCAAACGTTCGCAACGAACGGACAGAGCCATGATACGACCGTTCCAGGCTTCCGCTATCGGTTGTTCATGATTGGACGAGTATGATGGGCCAAAAATATTCGGTCGGTGGTGTCTACTGGTGGGCTAAAGTCGAGAGTCTTGTGTTTACCGTCGCTAACCTTCTTCGTCGATAATGCAAGGGGCTGATCCGGTTTCGCTGCACAGTCTCCCGGAAGCCTTGATAGCATTGCCGCAGCAGGAATCGGCGGCGAGGCCGTTCTCAGAGCCAAATGCAGTGCACCCTTCCCCCGCACACCGCCCGCAGCCCAGCGGACAACATACCACGCCGTTGCCGTCGATGCCTTCGATGCCGTTGGTGCATGTATCGCCTGCATTCACATAAAGAGAGGAAACGGAAGCGGAACAACATTCAATATCATAAAGAGACGTCAACGAACAACCCAGCGGCGCGGGTTGAATCGAAAATCTGCGTGAAACATTAACTCCCTACGAGACTTTACGCTGCGCGCTGAAGTTTTCGTCAGACAGGTTTTGCAGTTGTTTATGTTCTTTGTCAACGCTCATACAACAGGGGGCGATTATGATGCTTTGCAGGGATTGTCGGTTTACTTGTTCTGCATGTATCGAACCCATGTTGCGAGTACGTGAGGGGCGAAATGCACATTGTGTGAAGTTAAGTCTATGTTTCCACCTATGCTTAAGCATCGCTGCTCGATGTTTCGAGGCCGCTCAACCGAGTGGCCCCGAGCGGTTCTTGTGGCCTTCCCTAGAGTATTCTTCATGGGCGGTCCAAAAACAAAACATGGTAGTCTATGCATACTGCAGTACATATGGAGCTCGAAGGAGAGACTTGGACGTTTGATGCCGACACCCACTTGATAGCGACTCAACCATGGAAAGGTAGACCTAACAACTATGGGGGCGGTTGGCTCCGTGCACAGGACGCTCTCGGAATTCCTCATGTATGTGCGCATGATATGCACATACTGCAACTGATCCACCGATCTGTGACTGACGGTAATTCCAATGTCGCAAATTTTCACCTTGCACCACAACCGGAAGCAACATCACCGGTAGTAGCAGAACAGATTCCCACGAAAGCTTCATTATATCGCACACTCCCGGGTCGACTCGACTTGTCTTGGTAACGTTCTGCCACGGCAAACAGAAACGATCGAGATCACCATCACCGTCAGCAGAAAGTCCAAGCGGCAAAAAAAGTACGCAGGCTAGGCTGTTCGGGATGGAGATTTTTTACGGCTGGGGCATCACAAGAGGGGGTGGTGGCGTCTGACACATGGTTCGTTCGAGCAACACGACCAACATCTTCGGCTCTCCTGCGAAAAGGCGAATGGCTCGGGAAGAAAGATCCAAGTTTCTGAACGTCGCCCGCTGATGAATCCCTGCAGTGTTGTTTGTTTGGCCATGGAGCAAGGGAGTCAGTCAGCTTCAAACAAAATTGGTAAAATGAAAACGCCGAAACAGCCTACAACGAAGAGAGAGCCTTTGAAACCTATTTTTGTAGTTATGCTCTAGGCCGCCATAAGACTGCATTCAAAGCGAGCCTACGATGACGTTACCTAACACGTTCATGTTATGGTGCTGTCTTACGGATTTACAGCAGTGCCTTGCCCCACAAGAATCCCCGTGGACTGTGCATGTTACCCACGAAATCCTAACAGGTGCACGCCGACGCTGACGTGTCGAAGGTACACACAACTGGCACAAACTGGAACAGATGGCTGGGCTTGTTGTGTGCTTTGGTCAAACCTTGCCGTTGATTCGAGTCGGGGCCACATATTTGTAGACAGAAGGTTTGTGTTGGGTTTGAGGGGGAAAAGCTTGCGAAAGTCATCCGGCTTGGTTGCGGGATGGCCTGCGTGCGTCCGCTCCTCTGCTAGACTGTGTTCAATTTTTCGTTCTACACGTACATGATCACACAGCGGTGGATCTTGAATGACAAGCTAGCTACAGCCATTGACATCGAAACACAGAGTCCTACACTGCTCACATGTTGTATCTTCTGAAGAGTATCCCGCGTCGACGGTGCTCGCAGGGGCTTAGGGGAACAAGCAGGTAGAGCCGGGTTGAGTAAGTGAGTGAGTGAGTGAGGAGTGAGGGAGGGTGCATTGCTGTGCACTCGTTGGCCACCTTGCTTTCCGTTGGCAGCAGCAGAGCGCTCGGCTGCAACACAGTACCGTTAGGTGAGGTTCCCATCCTGCAGGTGCTCGTGGTTGTGATTGGGCAAACAGGACAGTCCGCAGTAAAATACCGCGGTGGGATACAGCCACCATGTTTCGGTTGGGAATTCTGTTCATCTGGCACGCAACCTAGAATTATTGTTGTTTTTCTTCTCATTATACTCGTGTCAGTTGCTAATCCCAAAATCTAGCAAAGACTCGGTCCGTGGTCACAAAAATGCTAGAGCCCCCAGAAGATCAAAGGAATACACACACTATTTGCAAGAAAAGGTTCACAAGCCCGAGGAGGTACACCTGCAATCCCTGCAGCACGTTTGCGTGCTCACAACTGACGACGTATATTTTTCGTCCGTTCGACTCTCGCAGGAATCCCCAAGCCGTGACTCCACGTCAACGAACATGCCTTTGCTGCTGCGGACCGCCCAGCGGTCCGTCGTCTGACACGAAAACTCATGTCGCCGTTGTCTAGTCTATCCTTCCGCACATCATGAAACTGCGAATGGCACCACGCTTCTTGCCCTGTTCCAAACGCTCTGAGATGTTGTATACTTCGTACAGTCGAGGTGCCGGTATAATGCGGGTTATATAATCTAGTGCGGGTGGGACCGTGTAGTGCGGGGGGTTTTGCTCGACACGACTTAGACTCTAGTAGTGCGGGTGCCGCACTATTCGCGTCGTGCCTCTTTAGTAAGGGTTTGGTCTCCGCCAAACCCTCTACAGTGCGGGTCCTGACGTCACCCTCCTCTGAGAGCGGCCAAACACACGCACATTCTCGACACAAATACGCCACACACCCTACCCCTACCGCATAACAGCAGTAGTCGACGAGAACAAGAGAGACGCATACGATGCCATGTGCAGCAGGCGAACTCTGCCTGCTGCAGGACCAAACACCAGTAGCCCCACACGGTCATGCATGCCGTGGAAAATGCGGCGGGAGACTACACGGCATTTGCGGGGATGGATGTAGACGAGGAAGACGGCAACGAAAACCATCGCAAGTGTCCCGCATGCGTGTCAGCTGAACAAGCCAAGTCGGCGGCTGCGGGCATCTTGTCTAGATCCAATATCGCCCATTTTATGTTTTCATTCACCTGTTGTGTGCACTGTACCGATGTGCCACCTTCATTCGCCTTGTTGGTGGCTTGCCTACACATACAGTGCCAGCCCACTCGTAAGAAACACCTGTGTCAGCTGAGGCTCAAATCTTATTGCCGCAGCCATAGTGAGCTGAACATCTTATGTGGGCATTTCCTATTTTTCCCCGACGAGAATTGCACGATTCCGTTTTTTCGCCATTTCCTATTTTTTCGCCACCATGCAAATTGCACGATTTCTTATCATCCCTATTTCTTTTTCCAGCCACGAAGCTTTGCACTACCCGCGGGGTACATGCTTGCGCGACACCCGGCGGTACTGAACTGAATAAAAAAAAGCGCAAAGTCATTGTGCTAATATGCGTGCGGACAACATACTCCGTATATCCCCAACGCCCCTCGAAATCGATTGGTGAAGTTGTCACAACTTGGCATGCTCTATCCCGGTTGGTCAATGTTGTGAACATTGGGGGTTCGCGCCCTACTGCCCTGCCAGCGTGGCCGTTCACCGTCACACACCCCCGCCGGCTCATTCGAATCGTCGATCGGCTCGATCAACGCCCACGCTCCTACGGCTGCGTTCGCCTCGTCTACATCGTATGCATCTAGAGGTATCTTCACACTGATGGTGCTTTGTTCGTACGCCAAAACCACGCGGTAGTCGTACGTGTGGCTAGTTTGAGGGGGCGCTACCCGGCTGATCTGCCCCAAGAACCACTCTATACCACGCCTCAAGAACACGCAACGCTTAATCAAAGCGCGATCCAGCTTTTCTGGAGGAGACTCTTGAAGATGGAATCCTACCGGAACCTTCATCGCGATGATGTCATCGTCGGAGTCGACGTCATCGTCGATGTCTAGCTGTGACAGGAGGTCTTGAACACCGCCGTGGTCATCACCTAGCAAATGAAGCAAAAAAAAAATCGAGAAAAAACCGGCTTGAGACACGCGCATTTGAAGAAATTCACAACCTCCCACCAGTGCATGCAAAACGAGGGGCAAAGGCAAAATACAAACCGGACCTAGACTCGAAAACTTTCCATCATCATCTGCGCTTGCGTCGCTGTTGAAACTTGACTTGCCACCGCCCGCCCCCCTATAGTCGTCGCCGACCTCATCATCCTGGTCGGGCATCTCCTCGTCACTACTCGTGCCCCCGTCCATGAAGTTGTACGCCCCAACTACACCCTCCGGAGTGATGCGGTCGTCCAACGACCCGTCTGCCATCATCGCCAGTCCGGTCTTCTCGAACAGGCGATGACGGTACCCAGGCCGAGCGTCCATGCGCGCGACCGCCCTTGCAACGAATCGCACGAAAAGGATTCGCCTTGCACCAGCTGAAAGCCTGTTGGTCTCCCACAGGCGAAGGTTTTCCTCGTGCCCAAGAAATTCATAGCTGGTTACCGACTTCGACTTTGAGGAGGCGTCCATAGCCGGCATCGACCGGTTGGAGTTCGTCCGTCAACTTGGGGGGAAGTAGCAGCAGCAGCGTGTTGCACTCGCCGTCAAGGAATTTCTTGAACTCGTCCGTTGTCTGCGCGTGCAGGTTGTCGGCGAAAAGGATGGAAGAAGGCGAGGATAGGGGCACTGATGAGGATGATGGGAGCCTTGAAGACGACTGGGGGCTGGTTTTTTCAGGCGAGGCATGTACCGGGCGTGGAGAATAGGCTAGCAGATGGCATAACGAGATGGAAGGAATAAGAGATCGCTGACAACTTGCAATCGGAATCGCCCGGAACACGTTGGCAGGTGCAAGAGCTGAAGGCCGAGGAGCAGCAGCTATGTGCAGAGATTTTGCGCGAAGCTACGCACTTGGACGAGTTGCAGCGTCGACTAGAAAGCTTACACTGGGGCTTGGAACATGTGGATAAAGTGGAGGGAACGAGTGCAGAAGAGCCCATGGATTGCGAAGGGGTCGGAGGAAGGGGAGATAGCGGAGGAGCTGGCGGAGTACATGGCGTACTGTAGTGCGTTTCTTGGAAACAGGGATTCGCGATCATGGGAAAGCTCATGGCGGAAATTTCTATCATCAACAGTTTCAGAACATGTCTTTGCCGTTGAGAAACCCGTACATCAAAGGGGTAGCGCAAGGTATTAAGAGAGGGCACGTGGAGAAAGGTACACAAGCAAGAGTGAGGAGACCTTTGACATGGAAAATGTTGAGTGCAATGCAGCAGAGTGTTGGCGGCGAGGGTGCACGGGGAAAGAGTGCTATGGATCGGATTGGCATTGACATATCTGCTGATGTTGAGGGCGTCAGAGCTGTTTGCGGAAAATGATGGGAAAATCCACGAAGTGTACTGCCTGTGCAGGGGGAACGTAGCATTCTTCGAGGGCGAAAAGCAGCTGGAAGGACACGAGAGGTTGAGAGCAGATAAGATAGAAGTGCAGATGAGAGGCTCGAAGGGAGACCAAGGGAGGAAAGGATCGGTGATGGTCAGGGAGAGGGGGAGGGCGAATGGAGCGGTGGAATTGATGTTGGAACTATTCGGGATTTATGGAAGTGAAGGATTGAGTGCAACGGCACCATTGATGGTACACAGAAGGGAAAGGGAAGTGGGAGGTATGGCAGAGAGGGAAGGCGACAGAACAAATGAGGAAGGGGATAAGAGCGGTGTCAAAGATGTGGTCGAAGGAAGGGAAAGGGGCAGGGGCGAAGTTAAAACCGGAAGAGCTTGCGTTACATTCGGGAAGGATAGGTGGGGCGACGAGGCTGGCCGCGAACGGGGTACCGGAGGCGGTGATAAAGAAAGAAGGGAGGTGGTTGTCGAACGTGTTCATGGCATACGTGAGGGCGAACATGCAAGATCCAGCATGGGTGTCGGCGGTGTTGGAAGAAGGTGAAGGGGTATTGAAGAGACAACCGGGGCAAGGGACGGAATGGGGAAGGAATCGTGAAGAGGGATCCAGAAGTAGCAAGAACAAGACTTCGTGATGGGGAGGTTTGTGTCCAAGCTGGGCGACCAGCGGAATGTGGTCAGCCTGGTTCTTATTACTTAAGGAAGCGTGTGGATTCCTTAGTAGGCTTAAGGGCCGGGAGGGAGGAGGAGAGTTCCACCTCCAAGACCCGGCCTTTGCGCGGCGACACAACAATAAAAATGGCATTTTTCGGGAAGTGAGAGACCAAAGTGGAAGGTTGTGGTACAACCTGGTGTTGTGTCAGAACGGTTACAAAGATCAAAAGCGGGCACCGTAGGTAAGATATAATTGAGAGGTAGGTATGTACAACGAAAATAAAGGAACAAGGAAAGAGAGGTACCTTGCTCACAACAGAAGAGACATGTGAAAGAAAGAACAAGACGACAAGCAAACAAGAGGAGGAGTAGAAGAGAGGCAAAGGAGAAAGAAGAAGGAAGCGAGTATACGGAAGGGAGGAGTCAGACAGAGAAAGAGAGCAAGAGCATCGTCGGTTCGTTTTTTTTACAAGCCGAGGTAAGCGTGTGTCGGGCGGAAGCTAGACATGGGTAGCATGTTCTAGGCTGAAGCAGGGCATGTAAAGGCACATGATGGTGTACAAGTAGGGTCAAGGTAAGCGTGTCTCTGGCTGCGGAGCAGCAGGGCACGGAACGACCGGGTGAGCCGAGGTAAGCATGTTGTTGGCGAGGGCGCGACATGGGAAGGCCAGAAGGTCGGAAAACATGTTCTAGGCTTGAGCAGGGCATGGAAAGGCTGAATAATGAGAAGAGTATGGTCAAGGTAAGCGTGTCTCTGGCTAAAGAGCAGGACATGGAACGACCGTTAAGCCGAGGTAAGCGTGCTCGGGCGAAAGCGAAGGGTTGAGCAAAGCATGGAAAGGCATGGAGGTTTGTGTCCAAGCTGGGCGACCAGCGGAATATGGTCAGCCTGGTTCTTATTACTTAAGGAAGCGTGTGGATTCCTTGGTAGGCTTAAGGGCCGGGAGGGAGGAGGAGAGTTCCACCTCCAAGACCCGGCCTTTGCGCGGCGACACAACAATAAAAATGGCATTTTTCGGGAAGTGAGAGACCAAAGTGGAAGGTTGTGGTACAACCTGGTGTTGTGTCAGAACGGTTACAAAGATCAAAAGCGGGCACCGTAGGTAAGATATAATTGAGAGGTAGGTATGTACAACGAAAATAAAGGAACAAGGAAAGAGAGGTACCTTGCTCACAACAGAAGAGACATGTGAAAGAAAGAACAAGACGACAAGCAAACAAGAGGAGGAGTAGAAGAGAGGCAAAGGAGAAAGAAGAAGGAAGCGAGTATACGGAAGGGAGGAGTCAGACAGAGAAAGAGAGCAAGAGCATCGTCGGTTCGTTTTTTTTACAAGCCGAGGTAAGCGTGTGTCGGGCGGAAGCTAGACATGGGTAGCATGTTCTAGGCTGAAGCAGGGCATGTAAAGGCACATGATGGTGTACAAGTAGGGTCAAGGTAAGCGTGTCTCTGGCTGCGGAGCAGCAGGGCACGGAACGACCGGGTGAGCCGAGGTAAGCATGTTGTTGGCGAGGGCGCGACATGGGAAGGCCAGAAGGTCGGAAAACATGTTCTAGGCTTGAGCAGGGCATGGAAAGGCTGAATAATGAGAAGAGTATGGTCAAGGTAAGCGTGTCTCTGGCTAAAGAGCAGGACATGGAACGACCGTTAAGCCGAGGTAAGCGTGCTCGGGCGAAAGCGAAGGGTTGAGCAAAGCATGGAAAGGCATGGAGGTTTGTGTCCAAGCTGGGCGACCAGCGGAATATGGTCAGCCTGGTTCTTATTACTTAAGGAAGCGTGTGGATTCCTTGGTAGGCTTAGGGGCCGGGAGGGAGGGGGAGAGTTCCACCTCCAAGACCCGGCCTTTGCGCGGCGACACAACAATAAAAATGGCATTTTTCGGGAAGTGAGAGACAAAACCCTAGAGCTGGTTGATCCAGAATAATTTCTAATCGGCCGAAATTCGCGGGAGTGTCGAGAGCTGGCAGGTCAATTCAAAATAACTTGGCATTCGCAAGTTGAAGAAGATGACACACCGTCAGAGATTGAAAAAAAGGAAAGTGTGCCCAAGGTGTTACAGAACGGGCCCGCATTTCAGAAAAATTCTGTTCAGAACAATATGCTCAAATGTTTGCGAAAAAGAAGAAAAAAGGGCTAGGAAACTCAGCTCATCAATCTCGGCCACGACGTAAGAAACGTCCACAAATAAAACATGATCGTGCGATACCCCGAGACCAAAAGAAACAATGGATAGCTGAGGAAGCCTGTCCAATAAGAAACCTCCCATGGTGCTGCCAGCTCCCACCACTACTACCTAAGCTAGCTCATCATGTAATTGTTTTCGTAGGGAGCGAGCGTGGTTACTTTCGGGTCGCCCCCTGGCCCCCCGCGCCGCCGCGGGCTGCGGTACCCACTGCTGTTGTACTCCTGTATTGCCACAAAGCACGGGAGTCAGGAAGTCCAGGAGGGTGTCAATCCCAATCAATGTTCGCCACCACCGAGCTGTCCATTGAAAATTCTGCATGAAAAGGGTTGGTGTGTTGTTGGTTTCTTTGACAGAAACAAGAAAACAAGAGCAGCAGGATGATGCGACAGCTCCAAGGAATTAAGAAATCCGTTTTACGAAATTGGCCGACTTCGCCTGATCCTTCGGGCGTAAATAGGCTCGACCCGATTTTGACGTTTCCTATCTCCGGGCCCGTTCTGAATAGATAGGTTGAATGGACCTTGGACTCGGTGCAATCTGTGCCTCAGATACGCATGCCGACAAACATCAGAGTGTGTCGACGGCAGCTATATAATCGTAGTGGAGCAGCAGCTTTCAGTCTGATGTCGATACCGCCAAAACCGAGGCAGTCAAGCACTGCCGGATGCACCACTCGGGCTTAACCTTGGTGAGGGCGCGTGAAATACAGTCAAAAGTGGTAGCTTTTTTCCAACAACAGCCGAAGAGATGGTGGCTCGCTTGGCAGGGATTCGGCTCAAAACTGACAACGCTGCTTCTTGATTTTTCATCCATCAATTTTGTCAACTTCAAGAGCCTACAGCAGTACATGCACCGTACACAGTCTACTGCATATATATCAAATATAGAGTGGGCCCATGTCTATGTTGCTTCCGGCACTACATCATGATCAGAAGATAAAGATGGCGCCCGCACTTGAGAACTTGGCAGTTAAGAAATGCTGCCTCGAAAAAAATCAAAACCAAAGAAATTGACCAGAAAATAGACTAACAATAACAACACGTGCGTGCTCAGGCCCGACGTGGTGTTAAGAACAAGAACGAACCCGCCTTTCTTTGTGGTGTAAGAACAGAGTCCCCAAAACGCGACAGCTGCAAGATAATAAGCACTCACGAAGGAGTGAGGGGCTACTCGCGGGGTGACCGGTGGGCAGCTAGTTGCAGATCAGCGGCGAGGAGGGGGTTCCTTTGAAAGTAGTACCGGTGCGGACCGGTGCGGAGGTGGGGGGGGGTGTACTGTTTGTTTTTTTGCGCGTCTAACCGTAGCCAACTATAAATTCGGGCTTACTAATTCCGGCACTCTAGA